CCTGTTTAATGCATTATCTGGGGCTGGGAGGAGGGTTACTTATAAAAGACAACCCACTTGCAAAGTAATTACCTTCAAGTCCATAGGATAGCTCTGAAGAACAGCATTTTTTACAGGTTTAGCTTGAGGGGAAATACCTAGTTTCACATCTTGATTTCCAATCCTACCTAGTTCTTCTCATTTTGAGTCAAGAAGAATGTTTCTTCCTGCTAACACAGCACAAAGATATTGAGATTTAGGGACCTGATCACCAACTTAATCAGTTCTACAGAAAGACTCCTTCCTGTTATCTCCCAAGAACCCTGGATCAGATCACCAAACCCTCTCTCTTGGTCACTGCCGTCTGGCTGGCAGTTATGAGGTGAGGTGTGGGATATGTGAGATAATGCACACTAACCATGTCATTCAGGAATGGAAGATCTGTTCTGTCCTCTCTATTTCTGGGTCACTGCCTTCCCTTTGGTTGTAGGAGGCCACAAAGGATGAGGTAGAGGGTCTGGGAATGGACTACTCCATGGACTAAAACACAGAGAGAACATAGAAGCAAGTAAATGACTCTCCCTACACCTGAACTTCAGACTCCCTGGATTTCATAGGGTAGATACCTGGTAAAATATCACCTGTTACTGGCAAACTGCAAAAATCAGAATTTACTTCCTAGGTCCACATTTCCAAGAAGATGACGAAGGGAAGACACTGCTAACAGCTACAAAAATGATTCAAGATTTGGAAAACACACTTTTTTATAAGAGCCTAGAATCCAATCTGCTTGCAGTACTGAAGAAGAAGGTAAGAGGCAACTTGGTCATGACCTCTAAGGATCCACAGGGGTAGAGATGTTTGATCGTAGCAGGCTTTTGGATCTCTCAGAGAACGGCAGAACAAAAGCCAGTGGCAGGATGTGGCAGCTAGAACAATTCCAAATGGAAATGAAATACAGCCTTTAACAGTGAGGATGATGCTACGGTTCTACAACATAGTTCTTCTCTTCCCATGCTATCTGTAAGTGCTTATAAAGGAACGCATCCTGGTCTTCAGCTTGCTTTGGTGATCTATAATAGACCTCCATCAACATCCCCTTCTGCCTGGTACTAATTAGGGCGTTAATATGTATGCATTATGGGTCCTGTGATTCTGAGTTACCAATAACTCTAAAACATGCAACAGTGTCTTAGATCTAAGTCCCATCTCTCCCACCTACCCCCTAGCCCCACCTCCATTTCACCCTCTCTGTCCTACTGAAACTGGTTATAAAATAAAGGCTTGGGCAGGCAACAGTTTTTCTCATCCTGCAATAATTGTCAAGATTTTGCATAATTTTCCCATCTCAAATTAGGAAGAAAAGTCAAAATAGCTCAAACTGTTTTTGTAAACCAACAACCACAAAAAACAAATTGCATCAGGACAACCAAAATTGAAGCCATCTCCAACTAGGATATTTTGACAATTTCAAAACTTCTCTTCAATTCTTTTTCCAAAATTGACCCACACCAAACCTTTCCCACACACAATTTCAGCTTTGAGGAATCAGAATTTTCTCATGAAAATCTGTTTTTAACTTTCTGTTTTAATCTAATGACTGGGAAGGGGGGAAGCAGGGGGTTGATTCATTATTTTAGAACACTTGGGGTTGGTAATACTGAATAATAACATGGCAGCTCTGCATTGATTTGTATATTAAGCAGTTTATTAGCACCCAAAGTTGCTTGGTGCCTTCTGTGCTGAGCCCTAAGCAACTGGGAAGTGATTCTGTGACATGCTTTTTTATATATTAAGAAGCCAGAAGGCAATGAAGACAAAATCCTAAAAAGTAGCAAGCAGGGACATTAGGCCGCTTTGACTGTATGTTCATTTTAAAAAGACCTTGAGTACTGTATCCTCTTTGCAAATTAAACCTTCTAGCAACAGAAGGATACAAATGTGCAATGCTTGACAAAGCTGCAGGCAAAAAAACAGGGAATCCAAGCAGCATGAAGGCTTGGCATCTGGGCAAAAAATGTGCCTTAGGCAGCACCCCAAAGGACTCTCCACATACTCGCTTCCTGACTTTTGTTTCGATCCTTGTCTGCAAACATCAGCTGATGCTCTTGGCTCGACACGGGTTCCTTTAGAAAATGTCCCCAGAAATACAGTAGTCCTGGGTCTCCTCCATGGAGTAAAGACTATTGCTGTGATCCTTAAGCTCAGTTGGCCAATTCTCCTCACCCACATGTGGAATTGGACAGAAGGGAGGGCCAAAACATACTGCAGCAGTCTCTAGCAGTGAGGAAAAGGGAGGAAGGAGAGCTATGGATAGGCCACCACGATTGTTTTCTCCATTATGGAACGGTGAATGAGAACCAGTACACAAGGGGCTTCTTTAGCTGTGGTGGGGCAGTGTCACCGTGAGGGTGTTTGGGGAGCTAGATATAGTCCAAGAAGACTGGACAAGCTGTCCAGGCAGGGGGTGCTATAGCTATCCTGCCTGGGAGTTTTCTGTGATCCAAACTTTAATAGGACAGTAGCAGCTGTCTTCAGCCTAGTGGAGAGAGTCCCCTAACTAAGCCCCCAAATTTCATTACAGAAGCTGAGCACCACAGGCTGAGACACACCATCAAGGCCTGGATAGCTCAGGGCCAAATGTTCAAAGTGTCTGCACTCACAACCAAAGCCAGATTTTCTAAGGTGCACAATAGGACAACAGGAGTTGCTGAAGGCTGGACGTTCTTGAAAACTGTGGCCGGTGAGCCCCTCAGAAAACCAAGCTGACCAGTTCTGGCGATGTACCTCCATGAACAGAAAGGGACAAGCAAACTTGGCTTGTGTAGACTGGAATGGATTAATACTCACAGCAGTCTCAGCTGGACAGAGCCACTGGCTGCCAGCAAAGTGCAGGCTCACTTCGCCATTGTGGAAAACCTAGGACATGTTTCCTGCCTGAGTCTGTGCTCTCTGAACCCTGCTACCCAGCTATTACAGTGGCCTTGGAGACATGAATTACCTATCTAATTCTGTGTAGGAAGTGGCTGCTTTTCTCTTACCAGCCAACTCCTCACTCCCCAATCCACCAGCATTTTCTGAATTTCAGTGTTCTTGAACATCCTGCAGAAATCAGGGCCTCCAGATACAAACACAACCTAATGCCGAACACAAATCTACATTCAGTGTGTGCAAGTATGCCTCTGCCTGGTGAAGAGTACAGTATGCAAATGCTCTGCAGAGCAAGAAGTCACTGGGAAGGATGGGGTGGGGAGGAATAATGATCTGTAGTTATTTAAGGGTGTTTGCATGTACATGGGTCCTGGGAAATGTTTGCAACACACATATGGAGGTTTAGATGAATAGCAGGATTAGCAGGAAGGCAACATAATAGCCGCAGAGAAGCAGCTTTTCAGTAAACTCTTCAAAGGGACTAAGAAACAATACCTGGACTATTGACCCCTGACGATGCTACTTGGAGATACCAATTAAGTTATATAGTTGTTTTGCCAAGGCTTAGGACAGGAATAGAAGAGTTCCTCTCTACTGAGAAAGGAAGATGGCTGTCTGTGCCTGTTTGAGACACTGAAGCAGACGCTATGGGAAGGATCTAAGGGTAAGAGAGACAAGCATCTTGGACCTTTATTGTTGTAAAGGGGGGATGTGCTCAGAGGGACTAGATTGGAGTTAAAGGGGAAATTAAATTGTGACAGTCTCACAATAACACACACAATAATCGCACACAAATCCACCGTAAAAGAAACTGGTGCAGGGAAAATGATCTATCTAGCAAGAGTAACATACAATTTACTGAGCGGGGTGGCCAACCTGCAGTATGGGTGCTACAAGAGGCCTGAGCTGCCTTTGGTGTGGCTTGTGCCAGAGGGGACTGGCAAAATAGTGGCAGATAGGGCAAGGAGCAAAAAGCAGAGCATCAAATCAGGCAGGGAGCAATGGGCAGAGAATAGAAAGCTGAGTAGCAGATTGAGGAAGGGAAATAGATTGGAGTGGCACTCAGGGAGGGTGAGGGGCTAATTTGTGACATGCCTGCCAAAAAAGACTGGCCCTCACTACACTGGAGAATCCATGGAGTTAGATCAGTGTTAAAATGATGCCAGGGAGGTTCTGCATCTGAATTATGAAGGAATACCCCTGCTGAGAGTCTAGGAGGTTCAGGTAGAGACACTCCAGGTTCTGCTGAGGTTTGTACATCTATCTTTTCCAAAAATGTATTCAGAATGTGCCCAGAGCTCAATTCACAGCCATCCATGAATGTGGCCAAGTCCACACCCAATAAACTCGTTAAAAGCTGTCAGTATAACAGTTCTTCCAGATACATGAATCCCACATGCAAAAATCCCACATTATGAACCTTATATGAAAAGCATGCAAGGGGCCTAGAGTCTGGGTCTGCTGTTCCCAAATTGTGCATAAATGCCCCAGACCTGCAGCTTTGTGGCTGTGTATGAGTCATTTAGGGGCATCAAATGAAATAGGGCTTCACTCTTATTAATGTCTAAGACAAGAACAGAGAACTAGCCAGAAATTAGCAGCAACAAATGGGCACTTTTTGAGCTGCAACAGGTTGTTTCAGCAACTCTTGAGAGGAAAATAATGGGCTCCAAGGCTTCTTATAGACCAATGTGCCCTGGAGAACTGTAATTTCAGAAGGATTAAATGATGAGCTGTGAGTACTAAGGAGAAATAAACACAATTATCTTCTTCCCATGGAGGCTCAGGTACTTCATATGAGCACAGCTAGGATTTCTGATCTTAATTTTTTTAACTATGGTAAAAAAAAATGCAACGTTCCCGTCACCATCCCCTGTGATACAAGTGCAGATTTGCAACCAACACTGGGATAGATCCTCAGCTGATGTGTATCCACATATCTCCACTGAAGTCAGTGGCATTATGAGGATTTATTCCTAAAACTTTCCCTCAACCGTGACTCAAATGTGGGTTGGCCTTCCTGAGAAGCAGCCATCAGACAGTGTTGGTAATCTAACACAGCACCACAGCAAGCCTAGAAGTGGAATTACCTTTTTTCCTATTGTGAAATATTTCCAGGATTGAGCTTGGTAGGTTGGAATATTCTGATAAGACACAAACTTCCCATCCATCCACTTGTAGATAGCGGACCCAGGTGGAGTCTGTCGGTTGGCTGTTGCCGCAAAGAGTCCCACCTCCGGAATGGCAAAGATCTCAATGCCCAGGGTTTCAGAATTGGTGACCAGGTTCTGATATTCTTCCACGTAGTCCAGCCTCTCTTTAGCTAGGAAATCACAAACAGAAAGAGAAATATCAAGCACAGCTTAAAAATAGGTATCCTCTGAATTTAGTGGTGTTCCAAGGTTCTTTGGAGAGCGAGATTGGTGACAATACATTTTATATGGCACTTTGTAGCCACCGTATACATATTAGGGTCCCCACAATAAAAGGCTTAAAAATAAAGGGCTAAATAATTTACAGCTGACCTACAACTATTCCACATGGACCATACTGTTTGGTCACCAAAGTGCTCTAACCATCAGGCAGTGGGCTAAGCTGTTGGGGAAAACAGCCCTCCTGGTGGACTGCCTTCTTCTAGGGGAGTGTCTACCTCACTGGACCACAGTCATACAACCTTTCACCTGTTCTTTCTTCTAGTCCCAGGAATCCAATTTTCTTGATTCCCCAAGCGTGTTAGATCAACAGGTAAGGGGATCCGTTAAGCCTAGCCCACAGCCTGGTAGTTATGATGTGAGGGATGCAGTGCTTAAGTAATAGTCCAGATCAGGGGTGCTCAACCCCTAGTCTGGAGGCCAGATCCAGCTTATGGAGCCATGTCATCTAGCCTAAGGACCCCCAGTCCAGAAATCTAGTGGCAAGGGAATGGTGGGAGCAATGGCTGTTCCCCTGCTGCCAGATTTCAGGACTTGTGAGGAGCCCCGCATGCTAGATGGCACCAGCATGTAGCTGAATCCAGGCTTGTGGAGTCAAGCCAGCACACGGCAGGATTCAGGTACCTGCGGGTGGTGGGATCTGAGTATGCAGGACCAGGCCAGCACACCAAGGGACTGACCTCACTTGTTGACCCCACACAGGATCCAGCTTGTGGAGCAAGCCTGCACCACTCATACCACCCATGGGGACAGAAAATTGGGCACTGCTGGTATAGATTGCCACGATGCAGACTCAACACCCAAGTCTAGGAGCCTAGTGTTCATTTCAAGTCTAGGAGCCTAGACCAAAATGGAGATGTCTAATGGATTCATAGATTCATAGATGTTATATTGAGCCTGTAAGTGTGTTGCTGGTTGTTTCTCCCTAGGTGGAGCACCTTATACTTCTTGGTGTTGAACGTCCTCGGGTTTTGATCTGCCCAACTTGCAAGCCTGTCCAGGTCAGTCAGTATCCCCAGCCTAACCTCCAGTGTGACTGCAGTCCCCTATAATTTGGTGTCATCTTTCAACTTTGTCAGTCCGCTTTTAACACCTGAATCCAAATCATTAATGAATACATTAAAAAGTATTGGTCTGAGTACTGAGCCCTGAGGGATGCCACTGGTCACCAAGTGCCATGTTGACTTAGTTCCATCTATTATTACTCTCTAGGTCCTGCCTCGGAGCCAGTTTCCTAGCCAACAGACCGTTGGGTTATCAAGGCTGCAGTTCCCCCATTTTACCATGAGCACATTGTGGGAGTGGCAGCAGGCAGGCAGTTCTATGGCCATTCTCCAGGTTGACAAATCTTGGTAGAGGTCGTAGACATTGTTGTAACACAACCAGGTTCTGTGTCCTGGTGGCAGGCGTTGTAACAGAGACCAAGCCAGCTGTGGCAGCTGTGGTGGCTGGGCTGGAAGCTGTCACTTTTGTGCCCCTTTCAAGTGGATGACTGGGGCTGGTGCCCTGGTTGCTCACCTTTTGTTACACTACTGCAACTTATACAAAGTGCTACAGCACAATTCAAACTAGTCCACAAGGAGTAGACAGTTCCTGATTTAAAACTGGATCTTGAAATGGAGAAGGTAGGAGTGCTTGACATTGCTTCACAACCCCCGCCCAGGAGCAAACAGCATGCACACTGATATCACTCTTTGAGATATGGATGTGGTGCGCATGCATGCACAGACACCTACTTGCCTACTGGAATACCGCATTAGTCAAGATAATCTGAAACATGCAAGGAATCCTAAACGCTGCCTTTTCCCCAACCACATCACGGAGACCACGTGGCTCAGAGGGATGAACAGAGGGGCTCCGAGCTGTGCGCTGAAATTCTATCTTTGCTGCTGACCAGCTTTCATAGCCCTTTGTACTTCCAGTAATAACACTGTACAGGCAATACCTAGCTGGCTTTGCAGTAAATTCCAATGTGCTCAGTAAATACCACTTCCCACACTTTACCACTCTGCCAGAACAGGACCAACCCCACAATCTGTAAAGAGCCTCAGGTACATTTAGGAACATTCTGATTACAGTGTAGTTACCACCACCAAGACATGTCAGTATGGGGTGGTTGTTTCATTAGGGTTTTACCCAAGAAAACATCATAGAGCCCAATGACAGTAAACGAGCAGTAGTATCATTTCTCATTTCCACTTTAGCAGCTCCAGAGCCCCAGTCATGCATGTGTCCAAACGCAGAAGAAAGAATGAGGCAATGCAGTAAACGTGACAGACATTGGTCTCAGCACTTTAGCACCCTAACTCCAGTTGAAAGGACTGCGACTTCCAACATAGCAGGTTGGATTGATGAGTTGCGTTGCAGCTGGTCTTGGAAGCTCCCAGCTGTGCAGAAGCTGGTAGTATTCAAGTCCTCTTTCAGAATAAGAAAAGTGTAATGCTTAATAAATGGCAGATTTCTGTCCCCGATCTCTCAGAGCATTACACAAGCAGGCAAGTGAGCACTGGTACAACCCATCCATTCACTTTCCTTCCCTCAGGAAGTTCTTCATGTACAACAAGCCCACTTACATGCCAGTGACTAGCAGCTAGAAGATGGCGCTACTTCTAACATGGGGAAGTGATTCTCCACCAGTCATTCTTAGTGAGATCCTTCCCAGTGGGATGACATGCCTGGCCTCTGTGCCAGGAGGTAAGTGACTGCTACTCCTCCTGTCTGGCACTGGGCACTCCAGTGTCCTACAGAGAGGGACCACCCAGGGCTGCTCCCTAACCCACTGCAGTCCCTGTACTGGCCCCTGCACTCAAAGCAGCATGCTCTGGAAGGCAGGCAGACTGACAGACAGACACCGGACTATGTGGCTTCCCTTTTCAGGCTGGCTTGTCCCTTCCCAGCTGCTCCCAATGCTCTGGGACTGTGTGAGGGGTCATGGGTAGACATGGCTCTGGTCACCGGCATTTGAGCCCTCAAAGGAGTAGCACTGGCTCCCTCAGGTACACACCAAGGGCTGGGTGAGGGCAGATGCCAAAAAAAGCAGGGTACCATGAGGTGAGGACCCTTGCCACCATCACTCAGCATCAGCTAGATTCTAGCTCAGTGGTTCTCAGATGCATGCCACTAAACTCCCAAAAGTCATAGAGAGGTGAAAATAGGCTAAAAGAGTTGAGACTGGTCTACACAATCCAGAAAAAAGATGTGCATTTAGAAATGCATGAAGTACAGCACGCAGAAGGGACTTCCCCAAGACCAGGCCAGAAGAGAGCTGGAAATGGCAGCCAGGTCTCCTAAGTCTTGTTCCAATGCCGTATGCTGTGTTGGTGAATCTACCTGGAAATTAACTTGCCCAAACCCTGCACAGACTCAGGATTCCCTGTCCCTAAACCCTCTCAGAAGTGCCTGCCCAGCATGCAGTTGAAAACCTCCAGTAGAAACAATCTTACAACTTCCACTTCAGGCACAACCCAAATGCCTAAACTCTTGGGTAAGCCAAGAAGGTACTGCCTCTGGGCATGCCAGAGCTGAGCCAGTTCTGGCCAAAATATAGCCAGCAGGAGAGTCTTGTTGCCAAAACAGGCTGGGTTCCTGTCAATTCCTTTCTTGAACATAGATATCTAAGGTCCCTTGTGAATCCCCTCCCTTGGCCCCTGCCCCAAAGACCTTACACTCTGCCTCTCTCCACCGCTAGGAGGCCCAAAGAGAGCCCTAATGGAGAAACCAACCACATACCCCATGCTCCTTACCTTCTAGCACAGAAAGCCATGCACTCCCGTTACAGAGATTCAGCCCCTTCTGAGAGACGTTAAACCAGAACTGCGCTTTCTCAGTCTTGGTGCAGGGCGGGCGGGACCCAAAAGTCACCTGCATCTTGGCTTCTGAGCACAAACAAAAGCACAACAGGCCCTGTTAAAGCCCCTGATGGAAACAAAGACCAAAATGATGGCTCTTGCTCGCTGCCCTCCCTACATGCACAGCTGGAGGCAGCAGAGCCCGGGCTGAGTCCACTAAGGTTTGGAGTGGATTACATAGCATGGGCCCCCAGTTGAGCACAACACCTAGGCACATGTTTAACTTAAAGCACATCAGTGTAGCCCCATGGATCTCAGTGAGATCACCGAGGTGCTAAAAGGACCCATGTGATTATGTGGCATGCTAAGTGATGGCCTTAGCTCATGCAGTGTGGGAGAGGACTGCCTGTCCTGTCTCTCTTTCCAGTATCAAGAAGCTAACTCCAAGCCCTGCTCTGCTGTTGCTGTTGGCTGTGCCCTGCTTCCTTCCTAACTCTTCTCCAGCTGCTGCATTGCCCACTTCGGCAGCCCATCATTTCCCACCCTGCCTCAACCTGCCTCAGGGTCTTCTGGCCAGAAGAGCACAGAGAGGGAAAGCCAACGTCTTCCTACACTCGTGATCTCAGTGCAGCTATTGCCCGAGTGTGAGGGGAAGGAGGTGTCACCTCTACTCCCTGTGAAACCCCTCTGTTTCCCCATGACAGTGGCTGAGATCAGTCAGGGCTCTCCTGGGGGAAGCAGACCTGCTCACACACCTGGTGCTAGTACAGTTTCTCTAAGCCACTGCCTACACACCGGCATGGGGACAACTTGCTGTGACTCAGGCTGAGGAAGGAATCACCTGGCTCATATCACCACTTGCCTTAGCCTTCACAAGGGGGCATGTAGAGGGCCCTCAGATCTCACTGTGCTGGGGTCTGCCTCACCTGTCTGCAGTAATGCTGGAAGCTCTGGGCTGAGGTCTTCTCACACTTAAACCAGTGTAAATAAGGCATTGCTCACTGAAGACTATGGAGTTTCACTAGGGAAACCAAGAGGAGGAGCAGGCCTTGTATTCTCCCAGTGCACTTGGAATCACCCCTTGCCACAACATCAGATCGTCTATTGTGATAACAAAGGACATGGACAAAATACAGCATGGCAGCACCGCCTGCCTGAGTCTGCTCAAAACACCCTAAATGAGAGCCCCAAGTTGCCTGAGTACTCTCCATTCAATTAAACAAGCTACTGAAGTTTGACTTGCAGATGTATTGGATGAGTGGCCTCTGGTCTGCTATAGACACCAATTTTTCTCTCTGGGTCATCCCCATGGCCCTCACAAAAACAGGCTTGGGAACTACTTCTCATCACTAACTACTTAGGGCTAGCAACCCACACCTTATTTTACCAGTCCTAAAACTAGGAAACAATTTCACTGGCACCAATAAATTTGATTAAATCTGCTGTTTCTGCAGGGAGTCACACTAAAATAGTGACAAGTCAAAAATACATTCAGAAAAACGTGATGCAATGATTCATGGCTTGAAATCTTTGCTTAACATGCCTTAAACTCTCCAGTGGTCACCAAGACCAACCACTAGGGCTTTAACATTTCAGCACCATTCCATATAGCCACAGCACTCTCCTCCTCCTAACTGTGCTACAGCTCTTGTATTAATCTTTCTATAATGTACTGAAAGGAAATGGCTTAAGGAAATGCATTATTTTGTATCTTACCGGCCATGTCTATGTGAGATGCTTTACTGCACAGTATACTAATCTACTGCACAGTAAAGCATCACCTCCTACACAAGAAGGTGCTTATTGTGCAGTAAATTAGTTTACTGTTTAGTAAATTTACTACCTGCATATGCAGGTAGTAAATATACTGTGCAGTAAAGCCAAATAGCATTAATGGCACATGTAGATGCACCCACTGTTACTCAAGTGTTGTTTTGTCTTGTGAGAAAAGAGCTACAGCTATCCCTTACCATGCTTGGTACAGAATGATTTCACTGGCGTGATTCACTCAAGATTGTTCTGTTCAAATGCAAGGCACTGATTCTACGAGTTTCCAAAAAGATGAGGAGAAAGCAAGAGAATATATAAAAATAGAAATGGAAAATACAAATTCCTTCCCTGTGACACAAAATAACTTGTAACTCCTATCTTAAAACTGCAATTCAACCACCTCATTCTGCTTTTCCCTCAGACTAACGTCAGGTCACATACAGTTAGATGGCCCTAGGGTGGCCTGTTCTAAAGATTTGCTAATGCAAGACAGTGAAGCGCCTCAAGAACTCTGTTTTGTTTTACTGACCGTATGGGTATTTCAGCACCTCATTGCTTCCTGGCTTCACTGGGAGGTCCTGTAGTACTGGGGGGATGGAGAGCACCGCTAGCTTAAGGTTCATGTTAGTGCATATCCTTGAGGTAGCATCAGATCCTGGCAACAGGACCAGCTGTCTTAACAAGCCCTGAAAAGAGAGGAAGAAAAACTAGGGAGATCACGTCCATCAAGACTGCAGGGCAACAGCCGCTTAAGGTGATGGTCTGAATTTTCCTTAAATTCTCCCTTAACTCCCCTCAAACTCTCAAACCCAGATTCTAGTCCACCTATTAGGCATTTAAGTGAATTGGGTACTCGACTGTGATCCTATTCTTTCTGAGCCCCTGAAAAACAGTTAATACAAAAGGTGGTTGTGTCCTCCTGCTCTTCATTGCTTTTTGTGACCCCCATCTTAAGGATAAGATGTTACAAAAGCAGATGTATTCATGGATTTTCAGGGCCTTGAATGTGGTGGAACAGAGCTGCATTTAGGGCCAGAGATTACTATACCACCTAGGATTAGATGCTTTACAGTCAAAGTGAGTATGATTTGTAAGCAAGAGTCAGAACTTAATAACACCCCTTTAGCTCTTCAAGATCAGTCCATGGCAACTGAACAGCCAGCATTAACTAGGAGACAAATGGTTTTCGAAACTAGACACATGAGTGGTTTCCCGGGAATCTGAGCAGTGTGGAATGGGGTCTGTTCCCTAGCTGCCAAAATCAGTCACAGGAATAAACTAGTTAATTAAAAAGTTAAAGAAATGTCTAGCTTTTAACTTTAGCTAGTTAAATTTTTCAGCTGTCAACTTTTAACTTTAACTAGTTCAAAAAAGATTAACTTTCACTTCTATAAAAGTATAAGTTAAAAGTAAAAAAAAAATGAAATCCAGCTTTCCCAGAGTTTTTCCTGACACAGTCACTCTCTAGGACTTGCATGGAATGATATTTCTTTATTGAAACACTAGGACTTGTTGGTTGAGAGATGGAGAGTAGTGCACCTTCCTATGAGAACTGGTCTCTTAAGAACTGCACGTCCCAGAGTTCCTTAGTTCATGCTGGCATTTTCTGTGCATTTGCAGAAGTCGATGGGGCAGCCAGGCGGCTGCAGGAGAGGGAACAAGCACAAGCAAGCAGAGACATTGATCCCAGTAAGAGTGGGAGCAAGCAGTGAGGGTGAAGCAGATGATGACTTTAAATTTTAATGAAGATCAGAACCAGCAGTCCAGGGCCCAAGAAGTTGAACATTACTTCTCATCTGTGAGAAACTTATTTGAGATGTCACCTACTATGAAAAAACTTTTCATCCGTTATAACACAGGCATTCCTTCATCTGCCCATGTAGAGCAATCGTTCAGTAGTGGGGGCTAAGTTTTGCAAGACAGAAGAGGAAAACTGTCAGATGTCTATTTTCAAATGCAGCTTTTGCTGAAATTCAATATGCATGTTTAAACCGTTTCTGCTATGCAACTGAACAGTTTTTTTCTCATTTAAACTGATTTTCTCATTTCAGTCTAATTTTGATGTTCAGACACTTTCATTATTTCTAATTCAGATGCATTTCATACCTTTTTGTTACCTTTTGAGCAATAAAAATTGTAACAACAGAGGTTTTCTGTGGAAACAGCCTTCATTTGTCACCTGGCTATGAATATCTCCTTTCTGTTATTCTGGTATACCTATATGATGCATTGACTTTTACAAAGTACTTGACATGGAGAGGGTGAGAAGGATCTAACATTACATAGGTATTGGTAAATTGTTATTCTGAAAACTGTATGACAAGTATAATATTGTTTTTGGGTAAAGCAGGGTGAGTTCTGAGTAAATTAGTGTGCTTCTGTCGGCTTATGGAAAAGAAACCCACTCCTTGCATTTGAAAATGAAAAATGATGCTAAGAGGCAATTCACCACGTTTCACGCATTTCTTATGAATCAACTTAACTTTTAACTAATCACTTTCTTTTTAACTTACCTTTTAACTAGTTGAAAGTGGAAATATTTAACTTTTAACTTAACTCACGTTAATTTTAAAGGCTGCTAACTTTTAACTTTAACTAGTTACAATTTTCATAAACGTAACCCCTGACTGGCCAAAATCAGTACCAAGAATGACCAGGTAGAAGATGTTGCCTTTTAACAAGGGCATGTAGACTTGTGCCTTTACCAAATCTCTGATGTTTTGAAATGCTTTAGTTCTTGCCCCACCACCCCCAAAAGCCTGAGAAATACTGGACAGTCAGTATTTTTCACTCCTCCATAATATCTGCTACAGAATACTACTCTTTTGTAACCTTCCCCCACTCCTCTATTGCCACCTAAGTTTTTTCATTAGGTCACGAAAGCCTGAAAAAGTGGAAAAAATCTGTTAGGCCAGACTGCATTAGTTATAGCTAGCCCACCTCTCACATGAGTATCAATGAATCCACACGCTGCACGTCACTCCCCATCCAGCTACAGAATGGCCTGGTGTAAGTGGAAGGTAAAAAACACACAGCTAAAAACTGATTCTTCTTCTCTGTCTGTGTACAGTTCCTCAGCACTTCAAATGCTCAGCACCACATCCATAGCTCACTGCTTGTTGCTTTGCAGCTGGCAATTGAGGCCAGAATTCAAAGATATTTAGATGCCTGAAGATGTGTATAGGTGTCTAGTGGGGTCTACAAGAACACTTAAGCAGGTTTGGTGTCTAAATCTCATTGGTTTCAAGGAGAGTTCATTGTCTACCTTATATGGTTTGGTCAGCCCCCAAAATCTGGCTAGAGGCTGCTGTGATCAGCTCTACTGAAATCACCTAAGCCAGACAGGCAGAAGGGCAAAGAGTTCAGCAGCTATTTTGTTCAAAGTTGCTTCTAGTCTGTGAGGCAGGAGTCACCTCCACTGGGCTCTCTCCTGGGGACTTTATTCAGTTCCTTCCTGTTCCTTTTCTAAAATATCCATCATTTGAGAGTGGAGAGATGTGCTTTGCTTTTGGCCTGTGGATGTATATCATACAAATGGGCTTATTCTGCGTCAGGTTTCAAATGTGTTCATGACCTTTCTGGCTGGGCGGCTGGTGTTAACACTGCCTCGCTCTTTCTGAGAGCACGCATTTGCCTAGTGCCTGGACCTACAGCTCAGTAAAGGAAAAGCTGCTGGGGAAAACAAAAAAAAAAAATGGATTGGCCATTCTACAGGAAGGGGGAGAGAAGGAAAAATAGACTGGAAAAGCAGAACTGTCAAGGGTTCTTATGGCCTTGCTGTACCGCCCAACAGACCACGCAGATGAGGGACCAGGGCCAGTCAGCTCTATTCTTCCCTGCTCCAAATTGGCTACAGTTTACTGCTGGCTGCCACCAACAGCACTTCTTTCCCCTTTTGTCAGCACTAATGAATGTAAGAAGACTGGCCCTAAGCTCCCTGATCCAGCCTCACCCCCTGCCAGCTGATCCATGCATCCGGTCTCCAGGCATGGGGACCCTGTGACAGGAGTCTGCTGTCCCAGTGCAATCTAACTCTGAACAACCTCTTCAGGATGAGCTGTTGAAGCCTTGGGCTCCTGGGGGCTTTGTATGTAAGCAGGGCTCTGCTTTGCAAGGCTTTTCTGCCTGGCAGCTGCATTTGCTGTTGCTCCACGGAAGCCCGAATGTCAAAAGTTCCCAAATCTCCTGATCTTTCCAGGCTACCACTCTGTCATCGAAGCTGAGGGTCCCTCCACCCCAGCCTTGCAAGTCCCTACTGGACCATCTCCTCCATACCAACTCATCCCTCCCTCCATGCTGTCTCCACCCCATAGACCCCAACCTTGTCCCTGGAGGAGCAGGGCTGGTATACAGGATCTACAACCTGTTCTCCCTGGCTGGGCAGCACCCCTGCTCTGCTCTGCACTGGGGGCCAGTGGGGCAGGAGCAGAGCTGCTAGGGGCACGGGTTGTACCTGCAGCAGCCCTACCCCTCCACAGCACTACTGACCCCCTCTCCAGAAGAGGCCAACAGTCCAGGAGAGGAGGAGAAGCCCCCCAACACCCTCTGTCAAGAGATTGCCCATGTTCACCCCAATTTTGGGAGCTGCACTTTCCTGCACTCCTCCGACCATCTCCTACATGCCTTAGCACTCACTCACACACAACTACCCACCTATATGCACATCTGGGACACCCTATCTGGTGTGGCTGGCACTGAGTCTAGCTGGCAACACAGCCAACAATGCCCTCATGTATGAGAAGAAAACTGCCCCTCACCATTGAGAGCTGAAAGTGACTCCCAGAAACAGGGAGTCTTTTTTTACTGGGTCTCTGAAAACCCCTCAGAGGAATATCTGTGCTGAACGTGACCCAAAACAACACCCAGTGCAACAGCCCCTCAGGCTCTGGATTTGCATGGGTTAGAGTGCAGGAAGAAATGGCCTCCTAGCAGTTATCTCCACATTTAAACCACCTGAACATCACCCTAGCACAGAGGTGGGCAATTATTTCAGCAGAGGGCTGCTTACCAAGTTTTGGCAAGCTGTACATGGTCGCATGGGTAGTCCCGCCCCTTGGCAGGTGCCCCACCCCCTGGTAGCCATCTTGGGACTGGAAGTCCTGCCCCCTAACCCCTGACCTTTGCTACCAGAAGTCCCTCCCCTTGCCCCCAAAGTACTCCTTTCAGCAAGGGGTTTTGCTGTCTTGGAACCAAAAGAATGCCAAATTATATTCTAAAAAGTGAACATCTAAAACATTCATAGATTCATAGATGTCAGGGTCAGAAGGGACCTCAACAGATCATCGAGTCTGACCCCCTGCCTGGGCAGGCTGGGGTCAGACGCCCCCAGCCAGATGCCTATCCAGCCTTCTCTTGAAGACCCCCAAGGTAGGGGAAAGCACCACCTCCCTTGGGAGCCCTTCATGAATTTGATTTCAAAAAATATTTTTGTCCTGGTCTACATGTGTTTGTATAGTATGCATAGAGGTGATTGAATATAATAGTGTAAAATGAAGTCTTACTCTTGTATATTGTAGGGAGGTGGGTGGGTATAGGTTTGTGGGGGGCTGTAGGTATGTGGGTACGTCAGGTGTGGGGGTGGATAGGTGTGAGGGTATGGGTGGATGTGTGGATATGTGGGGTGTGGGTAGGTATGGGGTTTGTGGGGGAATGTGTGGGGGGGAGGGTGGCTGGGGTGTGTGAGGGG